CTTAAATCTAACTTGACCAGTGCATTCAGCAGCCAACACCTCCCCACATGGATTTCACTAAAGAACAGATGGACTGGGACGAACTCATGGTAGCAAGACTTAGTATTTTTACCCACCAATAAAGAGCTTTAAAAGTTGGTAGCCACATTGCATTTTGAGAACACACATTTTTTTAAAAGATTGACACTGTATCACCACATAAAATTAGGTTATAATGCATAAGATTAATTTTGCATTTCTTTAAGAGATCCATATTTGTTTCTATTCCCAAGAAAAATGATCAAAGAGAATGTGGAAATTATTGGACAATATCACTAGTATCACATTCAAGGAAAATACTGCTGAAGAGAATTCAAAGATGTGGAGAACAGTACATAGAAAGGAACTGCCAGAAGTTCAAGGTGGACTCAGAAGAGGCCATGAAATCAGGGATATTATTGCTGACAGGGTCTCTACGAGTCAGTCAGACTTGACTCGATGGCACCAAATAGAAAATAACCTCTTAACACCTTTGTATATCAGAAATGCGCAGTCTTGCCTAAAAGGGGGAAATTCCCCCAAAAGCACTTGCCTGGAGGAGAGCTCTGCACCCCCATCAGTTGTCCTCGGTTAGGGGAAAGCATGACAGCTGCACTTCTGCCCTTGAGAAGGGATTGTTGTTGGGTGCTGCTGACCCCAAGGGGCAGAGCAGACCTGTCCCAGAGGTGATGGTTTGGGAGCGTCCTGCTCTGGAGCAACTGGGGGACTGAGTTGTTGGCAGCCATGCTAAGGACTGCATCCCTGATGGAAGGAAGGAGGGAGTCACTGAAGGGGCTGACATTCAATCCACCTTTATCACAACCTGGTGGCTCTGACTCCTCCACTACCAAAGCTATTATCAAGCCTTTATACAAGGAACATCTGTATGAACTTGAATTTGATCTACCGACCTCACCCATCTTCCCCAAGCAGGGCTGTGAGCAGGAACTGGTCCAGAATGCAGGGCAGACAGAAAGGGGCTGCAGAGTTTCTGATAATTGCACAGGTGATTCCGTTTCAGACAGAGGATTGAGAGGTAAACTGACCCCCATTGCTCGGCACCAATACCACTTTCCCGTCTTTCTTCCAGGTGATGAGAGCTAATTGTAACCAGCATTCTGTTCCTTTTATGTTCTTGAACTCCTGGAATTGGAAGGACTTCAAGCCTGTATCATGTTTCATTTCCCACTTGCCAACAGAATTATCCTTAAACGGTCCAAGATGGAGTGTCGTCTGTGTGGTTCTTTGACTCTTTGGTATGAAAGCTGGTCCTCAGTAAAACCTGTAAAGGATTTGTTGGTGATTGTGGGCCACAGAGTCAGTTCCAGTCATAGAAACTCCACGTGACAAAGTAGAAGTGCCCCCGGGGTCCTGGGTGGACTGCTGTCTTCACAGGAGCAAAGTACCAAGTCTTCCTTCCTTGGAATGACTGGGTGGGTTCAGACCGTGAGCTTACTGGCTTCTTCCCTGCAGAGTGTGTCAGCACTGCGTTGTCAACATGCTGTTTACTGAAACCAAACCCAGCTCACTTGTGTTCATGGAAGCCCTGTCTCAGGCCCCGAGGTTGTAAACCCTTGGGGAGGCACCCACCTTCGTCTTCCATCCAAGGAGCAGCTGATGAGTTTCAACTTCTTACCTTTTGGTCAGCAGCCTGGCACGTACACTTCTCAGCCCCGTTGATTTCAGGCTTTTCCCACTGAGTGGCAGCTGTGTCTGTGTTCATATGCAGGAGTGCTGCCCGATCAAAAAGCTGAGGTTCTGAGGTGAGAGTGGAGGAGGCACAGGAGGAGCCCGTTCCTTTAGAGAAGAGGCTTCATTTGGAGAAGCCTGTCCTGTGACGTGGTTTCCAGGCCCATGTGTTTTGGAGCACATTTTTATGTGTGAATAATATCCCAGTGTCTTTGAGTCACTTGCTGTGCATCTCAGAACTGGACAATGACTAAGAATGACAGAAGAATTGATGCCTTTGAGTTGCAGTGTTGATTATAGAAGAGTTCTGACTACCCCATGGGCTGAGAAAAGAACAAATAGGTATATGTTGGGGAAGGTGCAGCGGGAAAGCTCCTTGGAAGCAAAGATGGTGGGGCTTGGTCATGCACTCTAGGCCTGTTCCCGTTGCTAGGAGAGGCTGTTCATTGGAGGACATCGCACTTGGAAAGGTGAAGGGTCAGTGAAAGAGAGGGAGACCCTCAACCAGGTGGATTATTGACAAGGTGCCTGCAGCAATAGGCTCGAGTGTGTCAGAGATTGTGAGGAGGCACAGGATGGGTCAGGGTTCAGGTCTGTTGTGTACAGGGTCACTAGAAGTCGTACTCAATGGCACGTAATAATGATAATAATATTAACAACTCACTGTGTGAATGCAGGACATCTTGCCGTCTCTCTGTTCTGATTTACAGCCTCAGAAAACCACAGGCAGGTGTCTGTTTAACTGATCCTGGACATTTGGTCAAAAGATACATTCTTTTCTTTAAAAATTCAGTCTCAAAACTCACTCAGTGCCATCAAGTGGGATCTGACACACATCTGACCCTCCAGCAGGTTTTCTGAGGCTGTAAATGTCATGTACCAAAATGCCCATCTTTTTCCTTCAGAGCCACCAGATGCAAGTGGCCAGAGGGGAGCAGCTTTGGGTTAGCAGAGCGATTCCTGTGGACAGTGCCAGCAGGGCCCTGGGCGTCCCCCTCATGCAGCCCCCTCCCCTCAGTGGAGGCCTGTGTGAGCTGTGGTGCTGACCAGATCTGTCTTAACCTAACATGGCCTGTGTGAAAGCAGCCCCTCAGGGTTCTGTGGTGAACAGTGGCTAATGGAGAAGATGGCACTAGATGGACAGCATTCTGCTGTATTTGCTGAGCCCAGGGTTGCCATGGGTCAAGACTGATGCAAAGGCAGCTTGCAGCAGCGGGGGCGGGGGGTGGTGGTGGTGGCTGGTGGTGCTGTGGTTAAGGCACTCGCTGCTCTCCCGAAGGCCAGTGGCTCAGCCACCCTGAGACACAGAGACGTAGCAGCCTGCTTCCATGCACACTGCAGTCTCCAAAACCCTGTGCCAAAGTTCCACTCAGCCCTTGGGGGTCACTGTGGGTCAGAATTGACCAGAAGGAATGGGCTTACTTGGTTGGTCATGAAAGAGCGACAGGGTTACAACAGCACAGCTCCTCAGGGAGGTACATCCCAGGTCCTGGCAGGCCCAGACATCCGGACAGCACCTGAGGTCTCCCGTTCTGATCGGTTCTGGGATGCTCACCTCTCTGGGCTGTTCCAGGCTGTCTCTGTGGTCAAAGGCATTGGAAAATGGAGAGAAACCGTGTGCTTCCAGCACCATCGGCCAGCCAGGGAGCTGAACAGAACACTGCGCTGCATGTCAGAAGCTGGGACGTCAGGCTTGTAGACATGTCTCCTCACATACAACCACCCGCTCACTGGAAACCCTCATTGAGGGATAACGTGATGATATAAAAGGAAGTGTTCCCTTTATCTCCTCACATAAGAGGGAGCGATTGTGAAGTCCATCTGTCCATGTGCTGTCCTGTGGTGGCCGATGTGTTACTCTGGTGCTGGTTGCAATCTGACTGGGATTTCAGATACCAGCAGGCGGGCTTCTACGTCTCTTGTCCCTCAGGGTGGCTGACCCACTGACCCACCGGCCATCTGGACGGCAGCAGAGTGCCTCAGTGGACAGGCCTCAGTGGAGCTTCCAGACTAAGACTAGGAAGAAAGCCCTGGTGACCACTTCTGGGGATCAGACCTTAAAACCCCAGGATCCCAACCCAGCATACCTGGTGGAGTGGTGGGGACTACATCCCCTCGATGGAATATGACCCAGCACTCCAGGTGGAGTGGTGGGACCAGGACCCCCGATCCAGCTTTCCTGGTGGGGTGCTGGAACCAGGTCCCCCTGAAGGATCACGACTCAGTGTGCCTGGTGGGGTGGGTGGTGGAGACCAGGGGTCCCCCTGACCCAACATGCCTGATGGGGTGCTGGAGGCCAGGTCCCCTAATCCAGGGTGCCTGGTGGGGTGCTGGAGCCCAGAGTCCCCACCCCAGCATTCGTGGTGGGGTGCTGGGGGGCAGGTTCCCTTGATTCAACATTCCTGGTGGGGTGCTAGAGACCAGGGCCCCCCAGATGGATCATGACCCACTGTGCCTGGTGAGGTGCTGGAGAGCAGGTCCCCCAATCCAGGGTGCCTGGTGGGGTGCTAGAGGCCAGGTCCTCCCAATCCAGCATGTCTGGTGGGGTGCTGAGGGGCAGGGTCCCAGATCCAGTGTACCTGATGGGGTGGTAGAGAGCAGGTCCCCTCAATGGAATATGACTCAAAGTGCCTGGTTGAGTGGTGGGACCAGGACCCCCGATCCAGCGTGTCTGATGGGATGATGGGGACCAGGTCCCCCTGATGAATCATAACCCAGCATGCCTGGTGGGGTGCTGGGAACCAGGTTCCCTGCGGTGGCAGACACTCAGGGCCCACAGTAGCCCCCAGCACGGACATTGTTGTTGTTGGTTGTCCTCGAGTTAAGCACGACTCATAGCAACTCTGTGAACAAGACCTAATGCCTTTCCGTAATTGTTGTCATTTTACCAAATCCATAGGCATGTGGTTTAGGAAGTGGATGCCACTCCTGCTTCCAAAGCATGGACGTTAGGGCATGAATATCTCTGCAGTGTCTTCCTGAAGCAGTGAAGTCCAGGAGCATGCCTGCCGTGGCATGGCTACTAAGGGCAACGTTAGTGCTAAACCGGTTACTGCTCAGTGCCTGTTACAGCCAAGCTGAGGCAGCCCTTCCACATGCTTGCTGCCTCTCTCTGCCGTGGAACCAAAGGCTGTCAACCACAGGCTTCTCATGTATCAGGTTATAGATGTGACCGGTAGAGTTCCAGGCTACTGGGAACACATGGTCTGGCCCCTGTGGAGACTTCGGAGGGGATGGGCCTGCAGCACGCACTGTGACCACTCACACTGTGTCTCATTGCTTTTTTCTCCTAGGTGATGTGCCTTCAAGACTTTTTTGGGGATGATGACATTTTTATCGCGTGTGGACCAGAGAAGTTCCGTTACCAGGATGATTTCTTACTTGATGAAAGTGGTAAGGGGGAAAACAATCAGTGTAAAGCCAGCAGGTATGGGAGGGATTTCTCTGAACAAGCCAACAGCCTGTTAGCCCCACGCCACTAAGTCAGTCTCAGACCCTGAGCTGCATAGCACCTGTTGCAGATTTCTTTGAATTTTTTAAAAATAGAAATGATCATTGGTTAGATTAAGTTTTTCAGAGAGCCAGTGACTTGTGGTTAATTTAGAAACTTTTAAATCCTGAAGCCCTGCTTTGTAGAAACCAGTGGTGCAGATCTCCACATTTTCCAGTGTGTGTGTGTGTGTGTGTGTGTATAAAATTTACACTTATATTATCAACACTGATCATTGTGTGATTTGTAATTGTGGAATTACTGAGTATGTTTCTAGGTTGAACTTGTCATCTTTGGTTCTTAGTGGGGATAGCAGTCTTGTTCTTCTAAATACTTAAGAGCCTGTTTGTCATCAGCATCTGGGATGTGTCACAAGGGAGGAAGAGGGGTGTCCTCCACTGAGAACCATAATATGCTCAGACGGCTTTGATACAGAGGGGGGAGGAGGACAGGGAGCACCTCAGGAAAGTCAGGCTTGACCTAAGAGGGGTCATTTGGCGATGCTGTGACGATCTTGGCCTCTTGTTTAGAACAGACACAGCAAACCACTCTCACCTGGTTTCTCTGCGCACAGCTAAGGCGTGCTGACTGACCTCTGGTTGGGCTGCTCTCTCCTCCTGTCGGAGCTGTCTGGCCCCCGTTAACCTACATCTGTTACCTCCCATGTTGCCTGTGTTGTCTTTTAAGTTGCCGCCCTCATTGAGATCACATCTAGGCTTTCTCCTCAAGGCAGATACAGACAGGGCACTCTGAGGGCCTAGTGAGGAGCTGTGCTGTCAGCCCAGAGTACACACTTTGACTCGCTTCTGTGCAATTTACAGCTACAGAAAAACCCCGAACAAAGCCGCTGGACGGCCAGCTGTGAGTGGACTCCAATTTATTGACAGTGAGGTTTTTAGATAGAGTGATAGATTGATTGGTATATAGATACATAGAGAGATAGATAGATAGATAGATACACGGATGATAGACAGACAGAGTGTGTAGGAGGCTGAGTTGCTAAACCAAAGACGAAGCCTCTCTGGCCCTTGGAAACTATCAGATGATCCTTGGGAGAAAGATGGGCAGTTTCCCTCTCATATGATTTACAGCCTCAGAAATCCGCTAGGGGGTGAAAATGAGTCCTGTCAGACTCGGTTGCGGTGAGCTTGACCAAGGAATGTATTTGGTTTAAATATCATTCTAGGTCCATAATTTTTGGTGTTTATCCAGTTTCCAGGACTCCAAGAAGTCTAGAAACTGTAAAGTTCTGTTCTACACTCCCCCCCTTTTGTTCAGGATTATTTGCTAGAATCTTTGATCGAGATCCTCTGTGATGGAGCCAGCACCATCCAGATCTTCTGCTGCCTGAGGAGGCAATTTTCTCAGAGTCTTAATAGTGTCACAGAAATGATTACAGAGAGAACAAAGATCCCTTTCCTTGACAGGGTCTCTTATAGTTTAATTAAGGAGATGCTCCATTATTGCTGACACTTCAAAGCATACCTAGATGGATACAAATTACTTAATATTGATAAAACGGAAACCTAAACCCAAGCCCATGGCCACAGAATTGATTCCGACTCGAAGGGCTGATGTAGGGCAGAGAGGAAGGTTTCTAAGGCAAGGTCCTTATGGGGGCAGCTTGCACCCTGCTGGCCCGTGAGTGTGGTCTGGCTGATGTGTTAGTGTGTGACCTCCTAGAGCCGCCTGAACCCTTTATGTGACAAGGTGGATGTGGAACCTGTGAAGGGCTTTATCATTTGAGTGCTAACACCAACAAAAGTCATCTGAAGGGACCTCCCCCAAAGGACCTGTGCTCATAGATTATAAAGTCATCTGAAGGGACCTCCCCCATAGTATCTGTGCACCCAGAGTATAAAGCGATGTCAGATGAGAGTCCCACCCAAGCGCCTGCCCACACCTCAGGTGATGCACACAGCTCAGCTGCTAATTAATTATTGGTGATTACAACCCAAATGTGCTTTGGAGAAAAAAAAATTCTGATAGTCTTTGTTCAAGACTGTAGCTATTCTAAGTGCTGCAGAGCACATTTTGTCTCCGATACAGAGGGTGTCGTTAACTGAGTGGTCCTTGTGCTTGAGAGAGGCTGTGCTCTTGACAGCTAGTTGACCACTGTTCCACCAGGACCACTGTATAAACACACTGTCGTCTGTAATACTGCTATTATTTATGTATATATGGATCTATAAAGACATCCTTTACGTTGCTTTTTATATTTACACATATTCTCATTATCTCATCATTTTAAAATTATTTCGGTGGTTTAGGAAGAAACAGAAATAAGAAGCATTGCTTGTTTATCATGTATACTTAAATGCTCAGTAAGCAGTTCTGCAGCTGTTGTTGCTTTTAGATGCTGTTGAGTTGGATATGATTCATAGTGACCCCTGAACAACAACCCCATTCTATCTGCGCCGTCCTCACACTCTCTGACACACTTGAGCCCGTTGCTGCAGTCATTGTGTCAGTCCACCTGGTTGAGGGTCCTCCTGTCTTTTGCTGTCCCTACACCTTTCCACCATGATGTCCCTTTCCAAGGAAAATCCTCTCCTAGAAACATGACCAAAGTCTGAGAGATGAAACTTTGCCTTGTTTGTGTCTAAGGAGCACTCTGGCTGCACCCTCTCCAAGACATATCTGTTCTTTGGCCATCTGTGGGATGTTCAGTGCTCTTCTCCAGCACCACAGTTCAAAGACATCGATTCTTCTCTCAACCTTATTCATTATCCAGCTCTCAGATGACTCAGTGCCTGACAAGACCATGTCCTGAGTCCGCCTGAGTTAAGCTGGCTGTAATAGCAGACTGGGCATTCTTCCTGGAAGAGCTGGAGTTTCCTGTCTCTTTGTTTAGGAGTTCTGGTGGGGGTTGTTTTGAACCCACTAGCCCCTCCAGAGGAAAACGCTGTGGCACTTTGCTTCCTTACAGACCCTGCCATGGCGCCCCATGTAGCATCTCTGCTCTGTCCTAAGGATGCCGTGAGTCAGAACAAGCTCTACCGCACTGCATTTGGGGATTTCACTCCATCTGTTTCTGAATTAATCCACTATTTATTTCTGCTAAAAGTTGCCCTTTGAGTTGCTTCGATACATGTGACACCGTCACGGGGAGAGGTGCTCCCTGTCTCCCACTTCCTAGGGATCAGTCTGCATTACCATCACGAAGGCATGAGGGCAGTACAGATTCAGACAGCAGCTGACAGCACAGTTTTGAAGAAAAAAGACTGTCTCAACTTTAAATTTCAAAGAATTATATGCTTCTGAGGAACCTTCTAGAATGTGCATTGCATTTGTTTTGTGCTACTGGATTACTCTGTCAGTCTCAAAATATAGCTTAGTTTCAGGTCAACTCCAAAATGATCTGAATCCCCAGGCCCTCCTGGCTGGATCCGTTGTCCAGGTGGATTTTCATGCCACCTTCCCACCTGTCCAGGTGCAGTGAAGGCACTCCATGTGTCTGTGCTTTATCCTCTCATCTTCACCCTGGAGGAGACACCAGGAGCAGTGCCTTACAGGCTGCCCAGAGGCTTCGCAGACCCAGTCGCCACTCACCAAGGCGGCCGTAGAAGAACCTTGTCTTTGTGCACAGTTTTAACGCATAACATCCTCCAGGGACATTTCCTTTACCCGCTTTTTGAGCTAACCTGCTTTGTAGCTGTTTCTTCCTGTGAAAAGCATTCCTTAGCTAAACAAGACACCCCCATCCCAGCAGAAAGAAGAAATGAAACCGGATTTAGAAGTTAGGGATGGAGGACAGCAAGTTGAGATCTCATTGCCTTGATGGGTTTACCTTGAGACAATGTACGTGGACTGACAGCTGCAATTTTCTGACTGCATGTACGGCCTGTTCTAGTGATGCATGAAAAAGCAGATCCTATTTTAAGTGCTCTGAGCATGAGTTCGCCTGGCTTATCTCTGCTTCTGAAGGGAATTTGCTCACGTGGTTAATTACATATAATAGGAGTTGGGGGGATGAAGTGTCAGACTTTTCCAAATTTAATAACTCTTCCTGAGCAGGAATCCATCCACCTGAGTTTATAGCACCAAGAAATGGTCTTTGCTGCAGCTGACCCTCCCTAAAGCAGGTCTCCAAGGCTGTGGATCTTCACGGAGGCACAGAGCTGGGTGGAGGCGGACTGCAGGAGGTGCAGAGCCCACAGGGAGCAGTCTTCTGCTCGTTTACCCAGCGCCCAGTGCAGCAAGGAGCCTCTGGTCATGCCGGAGTTCAGTGCCTCTCTGCTAAGCAGAAAGTCAGCAGTTCAAATCTGCTGCTGCTTGGCTGCAGAGCGAGACCGTGCAGGGCAGTGGCAGCTTGTCCTGCAGGGCCACGTCAGCCAGAATCGACTTGGAGGCAGCTGGTTTGTTTGACTTTGTTGAGAACGTCTGGCCTGGGGATGATGCTACATTTGTGGGTCTCATGCCAAGAAAGGAGCCCATGGCAGTACAGTAGTTAAGCACTCAGCTGCTGACCAAAACGTCAGCAGTTCGGATCACTTAGCCACTCTGTGGAAAGGATGGGACTGTGTGCTGCAATGAAGGGACTGTGTGCTGCAATGAAGGGACTGTGTGCTGCAATGAAGGGACTGTGTGCTGCAGTGAAGGGACTGTGTGCTGCAGTGAAGGGACTGTGTGCTGCAGTGAAGGGACTGTGTGCTGCA